TCTTTCCTCTTCAGCCCTTTTTCATTTTGCATCACTTTACATAGTTGGCCTGAGAGTCAGTGCTGCCATATCTGTTAGTGACCTTATATAAGCCACTCTGAATACCGTTTCAGCTGAAGAGTGTGACATAAATGCTTTAAATTAAATACTGCAATGAGCTTTCTTTTTAGAAACACACGTGCGCACACCAAATACTAATCATTAGCAAGGAAAAGTGATGTTATATCTTTCATGCTGAAGGAAAATGCTACTAGGCTTTCTAGAAAAGTAGTTACCAAAAGAATCAAAGTGACGCTGTGACCAAATATAGATGGTTGCCAAAGAAAAATCAGACTTCCTAATATATACCTGTTTGATATGAACGTCTTCTTCATTTGCCTGATTTTCTTCCATGAGTTGAAATTCCAACTGAAAGGACGCTGAATGGCAATTTCCTGATAGCCTGTATTTGTGTGTAGTTCTAGTTCCACCTACCACAAAAGTAAACAAAAAGAGACCTTTATTAAGGTACTGATATCTGCTTAATTCATTTTAAAAAGTAAGTAAGTAATAACATTAAAATTAGCCATATTTAACATAAAATATTTATTCTACCAACCAGTTCATGATTACAATTGTCTGAAGCTGGGCTGGAGGAACTTGTGGACCCTCCAGGTGTTGCTTGTTCTGAACTGCCATCTTCCCTGACTATGCTGGCTGGGGATGATGGGAGATGGGAGTCCAGAAAATATTTAGAGGACCCCTATAGAGTGAAGTAGCCACATTCATTCCAAACCACACCAAGGAACAATCTGTACTGACAACGGACTCACAGTGAGTTCCCCAATCAATGAAATGTCTAAGATCAAGTCAAGGTTATGTCCAGCCACATGTGCTGGGCCAACAATGTACTGAGACAGTCCTGTCATTGTCATGGAGGCTATGATGTCCAGAGCCCACCTGCTTGGGCAGCCTTAGTATGAATACTAAAGTCCCCCATGACCACTCTGAAAAAGCTATTCAACATAATTTTCGAGACTACTCACACCTGCTTGGTCAGGGAGATTGTAGTACACTGGGATGAACAGTACATTAACAACATCTCTGATCTGTCTCTCTGGCCAAACAACACATACAATCCCTTGAACCCAGACAATGCACATCAGTCTCCTCCTAGAAAAGGGGATGAATTTTTTATGGACTATGGTGAACCCCTCCCCACCATTAATCTCTCTGACATGGAATGATGTTGCACCAAATACACAGGTGAACACACCTGGGTTAGCAAATGGCCACCAAGCTCATCAGTCCAAGTCTGTTATACACACCAAGTCAGCTTGGTGATAGATGTTTTATTCTGGGCAGATCTGGCATTAGTCAGCACCACCAGTATAACCAGTGTTGGCTGACCAGTATCCCCAGATTCTAAAATACATAAGGAAAAACAGAAGGGGGGGGGCTTTCATTTAACTAGGCCTCTTCCTCTCCTCCGTAAACCTTCACTCATCTCCATACCTCCATACCTCCATCATACATCTTATGTAGAATTAAAGACTATACAGAAAACGGAAACTACAACTTGAGGATTTGGACAACAGGTTATCCTACCCCAGCTGTAGGATCTTTTCAAATATGATATGGTATGACATATGACAGAAGCTTATAGAAATTAAGAATGGGTGAGGCATAAAGAGTCAAAATACTTACTTTTCTCCACAGGTTTTCTAGAACAATGTGTGAAGCAAATGCCTGTAAATTTCATCATGAAGAAGAGATCAGACTCTAAGAAGTCAAGCTGAGTTTTCAAGTCTGGAGAAAATTCATAGTGCCTTAAGTCTTCTTGAGATTTTCCTTTAAATGATTTCCTGATACAAAAAAACTTCAGCTGTCAGCAAAAAAATGAGAAGCCTACTTCCAGCACTGACATATTGGCAAATAGCCTAGTTTTTTGTGTAAAGTATTTCAATACACATCTCCCTAGGATTGCTTTACATAGCACTAGACTTACATTGCACTTGACTGGCTCAAACTTAATGAACTTGGTCCAATAAGCCATATTTTATTCAATTAATAATGAACTGTGTACCCAGACATTCCCTTCTCTCTTCCTTTCCTTGCAAGTTTGGCTTTGGCACCAGTATCCTAGATTAAATCTAGGACTTCCAACAAATCAGAATATCCTGGTTTCATATTCTGTTTATTTTTTTGTGAATCCTTAAACCTCATTTGGGAAGTCGCAAGAAACAGTGGCTTAAGAAACTATCAGTGCCAAAGCTAAATGCATGAGGGGAAGAGGAAGCCTCCAGGAACACAAGTTGTTCTTGTTGCAATAAGCCACGAACCAAGATCATTATGTTAGAAATGAGCAAACTGATCATTTTAGTTTTAAATCTAACAAATATGATAATTAGGCAGGTTGTACACAACAGTTCTCAAGCCCACCTGTTCTTTACACTGGTGTTAATATTTATTTTCCTTTTCTAACTGATACAACGTGAAAGCACATCTATTGTTGAAACAAAAGATCATTTCCAATTTTAAAGTACCAGCTTCCTAATCACTGCATGTACTGGCTGCCACTAAGATATCTGTAACAGATGCCCTTTTACATTTGAGTAACAGAAAAAAGTTCAGTTTTACATTGCCTGCATATAAGATAAAGACAATTTTCTACATTACTGTTCAAACCAAACTCAGGACCCTTCAAGGATCAGTCCCAAACTGTACATTAGTCAGTTGGCTTTACATATGAATAAACCCATTGGGCTAATTAGACAGACAGATAGATAGATAGATAGATAGATTTGCATACATAGCTTTCATTATCTCCCCATCAGAATAAGCAAAATATCCATGTAGACTACATTCATATTCTTCTGTTAACATCTTAATTTCTTCTTCCAAAGACTGGATTTCATTTTCATAAATCTTAATATCATTATTATTCATTTTTCACACCCCAGGCTTCCTACAGAAAAGAGAATGAAAACAGCAGTTTGGTAAGTAATGGGTTCCCCATCCCTCCCCAAAATTAATGTCATTGAAATTGTTAAATTTTCAAACTTAAGTGGAAAAATTAATATTTATTCATTGGCTTTCTTACCAGACATTCTGGTAATCACACCTAAAAGCTTTTTAAGGTTGGCATAATTTTAATTGTTTATCTCTTAATATCTTAATGAAGAAATTAATTTGAAGTAAGTGAATTTGAATTTTGGGGTACAATCCATGTAGCTAGCTCATCTTAGTTGTCAGAAGCAAGAAGGAGATTCAGCTTAACTATTCCAGAAGTTTATAATATGCAGTTAGATTGCCTGAACCAAATGGAAGATGTCCTGAATCCCCTCAAGATCATCAGATATATTCTGTGGGGCGGTGACATTAAATAGATACAAGTGCTGTGATCTGAGAGTCTAAAATACCAAACCACACAGGCCAAGTGCATTTCTTTATTGTCAGCAAACTTGTCATTTTTTCTTTCTTTCTTTTTTTGCTCATGAAGTTTTTTTGTGTCATGAAGGTAGAAACACAGGGCAGAGGAGACAGCAAAATGTGCTTTTCAACGTATGCACACATATACGTCTAATGGGGACAGAGGTGGGCTTCCTTTATGGCCACCAAATGCAAGCCCTATTAAGAGTACCAGGCTTCACCAGTGTTTTCACCCCGAAGGGTTTTTCTTATCCGGTGCTTTGCCATCAAGGCATTACACTAACCTCACCGTCCCTGCCATCAACTTTGAGGGAGTCGAGGCGGGGGCGAGAAACAGTTGCTGACGGAGGGCTTGGACGCCAGATGAGGCGGGATGAAGCGGTCCTCTCAGGCGGCAGAAATGCAAGAGGCGGCCCCGCCCCCGACCCTGGAGAAGCTCCACTTTGCCGCTGGGGAGGCCAGCACGGAAGCTCCCACCCAGGCAGGGGCAAAAATTTCCCTCAGGGGCAAAAACGCCTCACACAGGCCGACCCCGGCCGAAGCATGCGCCTCAACTGTGAGGCCATTTGGCATGGAGACCCGCCGCGACTACGAAGGGTGGGGAGGGCCAGGAGGCAGGGAACGGCACATGCTCAGAGGCACTCTCGCCAAAGGCAACAGGGGTCCCCGTCGTCCAAAGCAGCTTCAGCAGCGACTCCTCGCAACTCTCCCCTGGCCCCACCGCCCCGAGGCGGACGTAAGGACAGCAACGTACCCCTCGCGCCGCAGCAAAAACCGCCCTAGCTCGAGCTCCTCCGACCAGGCGTTAGATCTGAACTAACCGCCAAACGAAGCGCGTCTCAGACGCTACCATCGCTTAGAATAAGCGGGGGGGGGATAAAGTGTCTAGTAAGCTTCGTCATAACCCTGGGGTTGGGTTAGATCTCCCCACAGCACGCCACGACTCTTTCGAAGAGCCTTGCCGCGAACAGAAAAAGATTCCACGGAACAGCCCATAGCCCACTTTTTCACACACCCCACTACCTTCCGTTTCTTCCTCTTCAGGAAGATCAGATAGTTCAGTCCAGAAGTCTGCCGAGTATACTTGTCCGGCTAGGAAACAGTGAGCTTGGATGGCACGTAGAGATAGGAAAAGGTTAGAGCGGTGCAGAGCTCTAAAACGGGAACACGCGCGCAGCATCTGCTTTGGGTTGTTGGGAGAGCATTGGAGGGAGCGGTTCAGGTGGCCGTTTTCTATGGCTGGTACCCAAGCTGTATTTTGTATAGATTTTTCATTGATTCAGGTGGGAAAACGTCCACAGCTACAAAAGGACAAAACGGGTAGCTTTCATCGCCCTTCCATTACCAACCTTCCCCCCCACCCTTTTCTAAATCAAGAGCTACTTACCGAAGTGATGATGACTGCAGCGTATTCGAACGTTCCTAACTCCGCGGACCTGAGCCGATTAAGCCCTATTGAATTCATTGGGCGCCTACCTCTGAGAAGACATGGTCAGAACTGCACTTAATAACCCCGGGCTATACATTTCAGAGCCGTGGCAAGCGTATTTTCATGCTTACTCCCCTCTGCCACCCCGGGAAAAACAACACCGACTGCAGGGTCGTCACAAAGAGCTCAGGCAGCGGTTCTCAACCTGTGGGTCCCCAGATGTTGTTGGACTACAACTCCCATCGTCCCTGAGCTCTGGCCTTGCTAGCTAGGAGTGATGGGAGTTGTAGTTCAATAACAACTGGGGACCAACAGGTTGAGAAAGGCTGCTAGAGGGTGGCCATGTAAGCCTCTCTATCTGGCCGGGGAGAGAGGAAGCAGGCAGACAGTCACGGTTCCCTTTTATCACAGCTACGCGGGAGTCGTTTGCCGCAACCCAGCTTCCCAGGAATTTGTTTTTCTACTACTTCTGTCGGGGAGAGTGGACGCAATGTGTTTTAGTAGCGGCGAGGAACGTGACGCTGTGGAGCGCGCGGCGGAAGTGGATCGAGGAGGAAAGGTGAGCGAGGAGCACCCTGCGGAGACCACGCTGTGAGTAGCGCTGGGTGGCGGCGGGGGGAGAGGGACTGTGACGTCCCAGTGCGGACCCCGAAGTTGCAGATCCTCCGCGGGTGAGCCCTGAAGCCTCTTCCTTCTCAGTCGGAATTGTTCGTCCTGGGCGTGGGGGAAAGGCAGCGGATCTCTTTAGATCCCCCTTTTTCACTGGTCTTGATTCCCACTCAGAGCCTGGTGGCTGTAGGGGAGGAAAAGTAGCGCAGGGAGAATCCTAGAATTGTGGGATTGGTAGGGACCCCGAGGGTCATCTCTTCCAACCCCCTGCAATGGAGGAATCTCAGCTAAAGTATCCATGACAGGTGGTCATCCAAACTCTGCTTGAAAATCCCCAAGGAAGGAGAGCCCACCACTTTATGTGGGAGTCTGTTCCACTGCCGAACAGCTCTTACTGTCAGAAAGTTCTTCCTGATGTTTAGTTGGAATATCCTTCTTCGATCCACTCGTCCGGTGCAAGAGAAAACACGCTGTCTCCATGTGACAGCCCTTTAACCATAGCTGTCAACGTTTCCCTTTTCTTGTGAGGAATCCTATTCAGAGTAAGGGAATTTCCCTTAAAAAGGGGAAAACGTTGACAGCTATGCCTTTAACTATTTGAAGGTGGCTACCATATCTTCTCTCAGTCTCCTCAGGCGGAGGTGATGGGGTCACCTGCAGACTAGCCCTGAACTTTTTAGCCCTGTTGGTTTTAGCGAGGTTTACTTGAAAGTATGTTCAAAAGTATGTACAGTACTGCAGTTTGATTCTGATAAGCATGTATGCAAAGGATTGCAGGAGAAGTAGGGTTTCAGTTGTAGTAGGGTTCAACATGCTGTGTTGTGCTTCTCTTTTCCTTCAGCCGGTGCTAAATAGATCAAAACATTAGAATGAGTTGTGTGTTACCCTTATAAAATCAGAAGTGTATCCCTTTGAGGGGAAGCCACTTCAAAGCAGACTCAGTGGCTTCCAGTCGGGATTTTAAACTTCTACGCCAGGGGTCAGCAACCTTTTTCAGCCGTGGGCTGAAACAACAACACCAATGAAAATAGAGTCCACAAACTGAACAAAACAGCACTGAAGGTGGTTTATTTCCTATCCTTGGTCTGGCTGTTCTCTCCTTAATTAATTTCATCTTTAAAACCCTTTTGATGATAAAATATACTTTCCTATTGTTAAACACCTGCTATTTTACAGAAAAGTTAAAACGGAAAAGACCCATGGTAGACAAGGACGTTTGCTGAATTTCTGAATATGGAGGAAGCACCAGTTATAAAGAGACTATATGTTGGTGGACTTGGCCATACAATTTCTGAAACTGAACTGCAGGAAAGATTTGGCAAGTTTGGAAATGTGACAGAGACAGAAATTGTGACCCGGAAAGATGAAAAAGGTAATATGTTTAAACTCTGTAAAGTCACAACTGATCTGCAATAACAGCCCTTATGCTGCAGTTTTTTAATTGTGCCTTTTTGGGGTAAACATAGTTTCATTCTTCAACAGGGAACCCTACAAAGACATTTGCATATATCAACATCACCCTTTCAGAAAAAGAACTTAAAAAATGTAAGTACATCACCTATAGGTGTATTTTTTGGCAGTGCAATGTTCTGTGTTTTAAGTGTCTGCCAGATGCCAGAAGCCAAACCAGCTTATGACACTGAAATCTGTGGCAAGTACTTGTTGTATCCTTGTAATACTGGTAAACTCTACTATCGTCCCACAGGTAGCTACTATTGGAGTGCTTTGAAACAAACCTTTGAATAAAAACAATTACACATCTTATTCATAGACACCTATCCTTTGTGGCATTTGTCTATCCTTATGATCATAGTTGCACTGAATTCCTTACTGATTTGTTCTCTTTCTATCAGTATCAGTCGCCAAGCGTTCAAGTTTTTCCTCTGTCACCTGACTCCTCTAGGACTTCTCCAACCTTGGCTATCAAGCTATCCTTCCATTATTTCCCATCATTCAGGCGCAAGAATCTTGCCAATGTGGCTGGATAGTGCTTCAACCTATGTTCCTCATTTCCCATATTCACCTTGACTCTACTAGACCAGCCTGGATTCCTCCTGATGTTGTTGGACTCCAACTTCTACCAGCACCAGCCAGTACAGGCAGCGGTCAGGGTTGATGGGAGTTGTGGTCCAACACATTTGGAGGGCTCCAGGCTGGGGGAGGCTGCACTAGAGCACATTGGCTCTTGCATGTTTCCTTGATCAGTGGTACTTTAGATAAGTTCTGCCCTGGGCTCCTTTGGGAGGAAGGGTGGGACAGAAATGAAATAATGAAACAAATACCGTATTTTTCGCTCTATAAGACGCACCAGACCACAAGACGCACCTAGTTTTTGGAGGAGGAAAACAAGAAAAAAAGATATTCTGAATCTCAGAAGCCAGAACAGCAAGAGAGATCGCTGCACAGTGAAAGCAGCAACCCCTCTTGCTGTTCTGGCTTCTGTGATAGCTGTGCAGCCTGCATTCGCTCCATAAGACGCACACACATTTCCCCTTACTTTTTAGGAGGGAAAAAGTGAGTCTTATAGAGCAAAAAATACGGTACTTTAAAACAAGGGTAGTGGTGCTTTGGCCCTCTAGATATTGATGGACCACACAATTGCTATCATCCCTATTGTTCAGGGTGGGTGGAGCTGATGTGAGTTGTAGTCCAACAATGCCTGGTTCCCCACCCCTGCTTTAGAAGTTTGTTGAGGAGAATTGCTTAGCATATTGGATGAATTAATAATTCTGTTTCTATTTCTTTTCATAAAGGTGTATCTGCTTTAAATAAGACAAAATGGAAAGGCGGGACGCTACAAATAGAATTGGCCAAAGAGAGCTTTTTGCACAGGTAATATTTCGTATTTTACAAACAGCTTTCACTGAAAATGTTGGATGAGGCATCAAATGATTTTCAGTAATCCTTCATTATATAAGTGAACCTTACTCTCACAACAGAAATGAACAATGCATTGAATATATATTGTTTTTCCTAGTGGATGCTGATTGATTGGTATTGGGGATGCACTGTAATGTACAATGTCATCTTTCATTTGTGTGGAGGGAGGAATTTGCAATGAACTGAAACTATTAGGACGTTTACAGTGTCTGTAAGTAGAAGCAACCATCTTGAAAGTTTACAAGATCTGTGTTCTCTTTTCTTTTAATCTGGAAAACTGTAATTGCATGCTACCATGTAGACTGGCACGAGAGCGTCAAGAGGCAAGTATAAAGAAGGAAAAGCCAGGCAAAAATGGCATGACAGATGTCTTAGAATCTATGAAGAAATCTGGATTTACAGATTTTCACATGAAAGCAGTACCAGGAACAGAAGTACCAAATCACAAGGTATGGTGAATTCAATGGCAGACATAAAATTTGAATGCCTAGCTAGGGATAACCAACATGGTGCCCTCCAAACGTTCATGGACTGCAACATCTGGAGGGCTTCCCCAAGCCTAGACAGCTGTTTACCATTTTATTTAAATGCTGCTTTGTAATTGTATTTATTTCCCCCAAAAAATAATGGTGTATTTTCTTTTTCTTTAATAGGACTGGGTTGTTGGCAAATTTGGCAGAGTTTTACCAATCCTCCATCTTAAAGGTCAACACAGAAGCAAGATATCCTTTCCTAAAGGCTGGGTAGATCTTAAAGGGCCTTCTCGGTAGTAGCGCCCGCCCTGTGGAACGCCCTCCCATCAGATGTCAAGGAAATAAACAGCTATCCTATTTTTAAAAGACATCTGAAGACAGCCCTGTTTAGGGAAGTTTTCAATATTTAATTCTGTAATGTTTTTAAAACTCGATTGGGAGCTGCCCAGACTGGCTGGGGAAACTCACCCAGATGGGTGGGGTATAAATAATAAATTATTATAATAATTATAAATGGAAGCAGGTTATCATTACCCGGTTATTAACACTGTCTACAATGTGATAATCCAATTGTGCCATATATCTTCTTGCCTAGAATAAAAGAAGCCAAACAAGAACAATTCATTGAAATATTTAATCCATAGCAATGGTAATGAATAGTTTTAAGAATGTGACAAACAGTTTTTATAAACATTTTCCGAACTAAGTTGGACAACATGTAGCATATGTGCACTCTTTCTAATATGTTTGTTCCCAGGCATTCTTAAATCATAGTGGCACATTAATAAGCATTTTCTTTCCTTCGAGATAGTGTTTCAAACCTATCTATAATTGGTGCAAGAGAGCGATTTGTTTTTCCTTAATTCAGGCAATTACACCATAAAATATGACCCCTCCAAATATTGTCACAATCTTAAAAAACTGGATCAAGACCTTACTGAGATGGTTCCTATTTCCAAGCTCACGTGGCATTTGGAGGAAGGCGATGACAGCATGAGCAAGAAACGGCAAGGGCACTTTCCTGCATATGAGCCACCTAAAAAGAAAATGAGAGGGCAGGATGGGGACAGTGTGAGCCGGACAGAATTGCATTCATATAGTCGGTTTTCATCAAAAACAACAAGCATGGCCGCAGGCAAACTAGTTCAAAGCTGCACACCCAAGACCAAAAAGCAAAGTAAAGAGCACTCAGCGCATCAGAAGCTTGGAACTGCTTCAACACCTTGCAGGAATAGAAACCGTCTGTCTGAAAGTGATATTGATTCTGAAGAAGAAATTCGAGCCATAATAGAAAGGGAGAGAGAAGTGCGTCAAGATAATCCTGATACTGAACAGGAAGAGAATATGGAAGTTGTCAGAGAGGATTTTGAGCTGAAATATCGCACTCATTGGTCCTTACAGGAAGCCCAAGATGCCAAGCAAGCGCCCACTGGGTGTAATGGAGCGCTGAGGACCACTGACAATCAGTCTGGTTATGATTCGGCTGACACTGATGAAATTATAGCTGTGACTAGAACACCAAATAATGAGAAGAAGGAAGCTCCAAAGGAATCTGCAGTCACACAGGGAAAGGATGACAAGCCTAAGATGCATGCTACAAATTCCGGATCTTCTGTCTCAAGTGGTTTAATATTGGATAAACCGAAAAGCGTGGGGAGAGTAAAGCCTAAGAAAGCATCAGATTCAAGGGCTGCTGCTCAACAGAACAGCATCAGTAAGAAGTGCAAGGCTGGGGACAGTGTAAGTTCCGATTCATATCTTGACACAAGTGAGTCTGAAGGGGATGAAGATTACGAAAGCATGATGCAGGGTTGTTACCGGCTAGATCTTACATTAGAAGAATTAGAAAGATTAGCCAGTGAAAATACCCAAACTATAGATAAAGATACTGCAATTAACCAAAATAACACTCCGTGTAAAAGTACTGAATTTCCAGTTAACAGTACCGGCAATATTGCAAAGAAATCCAAAGAGATCACTACCCGGAAAAAAGGCATTTCTCCTGAAGAGATCATTTCTGCCATTTTAGAAGGAGGAAGTTCTGATGAAGAGAATCCGAAGAGAAAGAAGTTGAATTTGAAAGTTCCACCTTTCAGAGGAATAGGGTCATTAAGTCAAGAGCTGACTAAGGGTGAGTTGGGCACACAGGACAGTCAAGAAAACCAGACTTCCTCCGGCCTTGTTGATCTGGAAGCTCCCAAAAGTGTTCCTCAGTGCTGCGACTCTGCAAGCAAAAAACTTAACTGCAAACCGTTAAAAGAAAATAGCACGGACTCTCTCAGGGGAGCTTGTATTCTAAAATCAGGGGAAGATTCTGACTACAGTAAACTCAGTGCAAAAAGTAGCGAGGTGGAAAGCACTGGTGTGAGTGTTCTGTCTGAAAGAAAGAACTCAAAAAATCTGAAATCTCTTTGCAAGGAAACAAAGATAGAGACAAGCATTAAAGGTTCCAGTTTTGCACACTGTAAGAACATGAGAGGTGAAGAGCCCGTCCTGGATTCTGCCAAAGCTACAAGCACGTCTGATAAAAAGGAAAAACAGCTGCAGGATAATGAAAAAAGGTTGACTGCTCTACAGGAGAGGCAAAAAGAACGAGAGCTACAGAAGAAACTTATTCAGGGAGCTTTAACCAGTCTGGTAGTTTTTATGTTTATATTTTGATTATGATGGGAGAGATTATGATATTATTGGGGTGGAACTTGGGAAGGGGGGTAGTGGTTGAAAAAATGATTCCAGTAAGTGGTCATAAAACCTTGAATTTCACAATTTAATAATTATGCCTTAGAAAAACATAAAGAAATAATCATATTAGTAAATAATAATATAAAACAACATCTGCCACTACTAGGGAGCTGTCATTGAAAAAATTACATCAATTGTATTTGACACCAAGAAAGTTATCCATGATAAACCATAATCTTTCCCCTATATGTTGGAGAAGCTGTGGCATGGTCAGTAGGTCTAAGTGTTTTGGAAACTGATATGCCAGGAGGTCAGTGAGATCACTGATCTGTGGATACAGCCCTCTCTGACTTGTTAATGATTTTGGATTGAAATTTAGATCATATTCATATAGAGCTGTTAAGTCATTTACTCATCTGTGTGAGCAGTGGTAGCTCGAAACTGGAAGGCACTGCAGAATGGTATCAAAAGATTTGGTAGTGTGCTCTTTCAGAGAAATTAACGCAAAAATGAAGGGCAATCAGCGGACAGAAAATAAAGGAGCCATTTGAGAAAATACAGACAGAAAGTGTTTACTATCCAGGTGTAATGGATAATCCCCCCCCAAAAAAATACTGTACACACACTCTCAATTGTGGACCTTTTGTATTATTTCTTCATTTTGAAACCCAGTAAAGAAAAACCCTGCAGAGAAAACCCTGTAAAGAAAAATATAAATGAGAAAGGAAGTACCATATTGGCCTGAATATAAGCCTCACCTTTTTTCCAAATTCCAACCATGAAAAGTTAAAGTGCGACTTAAATTCGCAACCTTACAAATTAGGCTTTTACAATATCACTGCTGAAACAGAAATATGGTAAAACGGAACAAAAAAAGTTTTATTGCCAATTTGCAAGCTTGAGACTGTTCATTTGCCATTTACGGGTATGAGTGCCTGCGGAATTGTAGCGATTGAATAGCAATTTGCGATTTTAGCAATTGTATGGTAACTTTTGCGGGCTTGCAAGATCAAAGGCTTAAATTGGCTCAGAGTTCTAATTCTACCAGCCGCAGCGATTTTCAGCCTGTTACCCAATTTTAAGGGAGCGACTTATATTCGGGTACTGTCTCTTCCCCCGCCTTGAATTTTAAATGTGGGGCTTATTTGTGGGTGCTGCTTATATTTGGGCCAATACGGTATTCAGAGTATCAGTATGTATAGTTGTTGAGCTGTTTTAAGCTTACACATTGCATCTGTTTTGTTTCTTTTATTTTTAATGTTTATCTTTAGAAAACTAACATATTTATTCCTCTATTAAATGTCACTGTGTTAGATTCTCTTGGAGGTCTAGGTGGACATCTAATCTGATAGCTCAACTGTCCCTGTTCCCAGTTGGTTCAACAGTGCTCACATTTTGCACCTCAGCACCACTTCACATTAAGTCCAGAGTCACCAGGCCCCGCAGAGGACCTTTAGGTCCATGAATAACCATAGTTTAGAGGTCCCGGGCCCTAAGGAAGTCAGACTATCCTCCACCAGAGCCAGGGCCTTTTCAGTGATGGCTCCGACCTAGTGGAATGCTCTGTCCCATGAGACTAGGGCCCTGCAGGATTTAACCTTCTTCCGTTAGGCCTGTAAGACAGAGCTATTCTGCCTGGCCTTTAATTTGAATTCCGCCTGATCTTTTATTTCCCTTCTCTTTCCTCCCCCTCCCCTTTTATGAAGATTACCCACTCTGAGACCCCACAGCTAATTCTCCCCTGGCCTCCTCGCTGGCCCAAGTAGGACTAATTCAGCCCACTAGCCCTGGTGACTGTCTAATGCTTATTGGATGGATTTCCCCCAAATTGATTTTTGAACTTTGAATTTTATTGTTACTCATGTTTTTATACTGTATTTTATGCTGCTTCTATATTGTATTACAATTAAGTGTTTTGAATTTGTTGCTAGCTGCCCTGAGCCCGGTTTTCTGAACCAGGAAGGGTGGGGTATAATTAAAAAAATATTATTATTATTATTATTATTATTATTATTATTACCACTACTCTGGTTGGCTCCATGTCCAATTGTTCTAGATATGTGCAAGTTTTTGTTTTGTTCCCCTGTTGAATATTTTGTGTACTGCTAATGTTTCATCTTCATAATTATTCACTCTCTGATTTTGTAGGAAACTCAGTCAGCAAATAAACAGAAGCACATAGTATTTGATTCAGAGGATGAAGCTGAAAATAAAGATGAAGTACAAGAGAGCACACCAGGAGGGTCTTCAGGACAGCTGCTGGGAAAAGTGAGAGGACTATAAAATTCAGCTGTATTCATAGCGATAGCTATAAAATTCTAAACATGCATTTTGCATGGCCGACTATGGAGAGAAAAATAAGCATACACATGTCTGGGGTTTTTTGTTTTAGAAAAATGAATGCTTCCACTACTTTCACCCCCGTCCCAGACAAAATTTATTGAATTTTTCTGAGATACACATCTAGAGCAACAATAAATTCTTAAGGATGATTAATGAGTACAGGTAACCTAGATACTGGACCCAAATAAACAGACATGGTAAAATGTCTGATACTTTCCACTATCCTGAGTAGGAATAGGCAAACTTTCTACAGCTTGCCTTGGAATAACTCAAATTACAGGAGTTTTTCAGGGGGGAAATCAGAAGAACATCAGTAAGTTTTCTGAATCAATCCAAGGGCTTGGAAGCAGAGGCTTTCTACCTGACTCTTTTAATGTAATAGAGTGGCTTCCTCCATTCATTTGAATTGGAATGGGTAAAGGGTGGTAAGGGGCAAAATGTGAGTTGGGGAGGGCACACAATGGCTTATTTGCCATTGTAGTTTCTTCCCACTCACTCCTGGATAAACTAGTGAAACACTTGCTAAAGCTTTAGGAATTGTTTTTAGAATTACTGTAACTGATTAAGATCCTGTATTTGTTACTCTGCCCAAGGAATTTGCTACTAAAACCTCTGGAAAGTTGTTTGAGAGCAGTGATGATGAATCAGAAACAACAGATGAAGAAGATGACAGATTCAAAATCAAACCTCAGTTTGAGGGTAAAGCTGGAGAGAAGGTTAGTAAATCTACTTACCGGTAATACATTTTTCTTTCAGCTTCCTCATAGATTCCTATAACTGAACTTTATCCTAAGCATTTTCTGAAACAGTTCCAAAACGCAAATGTTTACAGAGGGCTTCCAATCAGCCCTTTATAGGTATAAATATTGTTCTTTTCATGACTCTTTATCCTAAGAAATAGCAATATTTTCCTGACATTCTAATATGTCTCTGACAATAAATGGTATTTCTGCCCCTTCATGTCTGCTAATCTGCCTCATCTCTGCTGTAACAGGATGCTTATAAATGCTTCATTTAGCTTGCAATATAACACTAAGCCCAAACTTTTGGCTTAGCACAGGCAAGCAAACAGTGCGGTGTATTTTTAGAAAATCATTCCACTTCGTTCTTCTTCTGGTTCTGCTGCTGAGAGATAAGCTATGGTTTGGTTTAGTGTTGCATGCAAACTCAGGCTTGCTTCAAATCTTAAGCTGATTTGTTCTTGCTTTACCACCGGTGGTTTTGGGGGGGAGACAAACCACAAGCCCTGTTTTGGATGTAACACTAAGCCAAACTGCAGCTTAGTTCCCCATAGCGCAGCAGCAGTAGGTAAGAGGGAGAAGTGAAAAAACCACAGTTTTAAAAAATGTGCACCAGAGCACTTGCTTATTCCTGCTAAGTCATAATATGGCTTAGTGTTAATACAAGCCAGTTTGTGTGTGTGTGTGTGTGTGTGTGTGTGTGTGTACACAGAATAACAGTCTTCATTATAACCACATTGCAATTATTGAAGGTAGAATGAACATCTGCTATAAACCAGGAAGAAGGAATACCAACTTTCTGTTTCTGTTGTTTCAGCTTATGCATTTACAGTCACGATTTGGAACAGATGAAAGATTTCGTATGGACGCTCGCTTCCTTGAAAGTGACAGTGAACAAGAAGGTTAGGTGCTTTCCTATTGATTGCTCTAGAGAAAACTTCATTAAAACAATTTTATATGCTGTAACCTTGTTATATTTATTGTTCCTTCTTTACTACTGCTCACCTTAAATGCTTTAAAGGGCAATTAACAAATACTGTGTCTGTGGCCATAGTGATATGGAAAAAGGGAAAAGGAATATACTACAATTGTATAGGAATAGTCTTCACTGCCACCTGCAATCCTTTGGAATCTTGCCATGTCTGACAGAATATCAATAGATCTACATCTACACATTTGGAAGAGGCAAGGCAATTTTTTAAGGCTATCATAAGATCATGGATTGCCATGATGTAATAACAGTCTCTTGAGGCTGGGCCATAACATTGGTTTGTCAGTGATTTGTTAATTCAGACAGCTAGGTTAAACTAGATTGCATGGCAGTTTCACACCATTTATTATCACACTATTTGGCAGCCCACTGCATAGGTTCGGATGTCAAAAACAAACAAACCATGGTTTGGTGTGATGTTTGAATTCAACCAGTATCATTTGGTGGTGCTGGCAATTAAGGCTCCTTTAATTGTTATTACTTTTTCTTCACTTAGATGAATCAAAAGTGGAAATAGATGAAGAGGAGGAACTCACTTTAGAAAAAAAGAGAAATCTTGACATCTTGAAAAATCTTCTGAATATTGGTGCAGAACTTTCGAAACCTCGCAAGCAGACAGCAAATGCCAAGAAATTCAAGTATGGGTATTTCTTTTATCAGATAAACTAAGGCTTGTTCTACACATACAGGAGAATGAAGTGTTGGGATGTACTACACCTTTTCACATTGCTGATGGTTCTCCCACATTAATAACTCCCTGAATGCAGAGGGCTATCACAGCAGACCAAGGCCTGAGTAGAACCTTTCAGCCTAAGATAGTTTTCTGTTTGTAGGAAGCTTTCTGTATAAGGAAGCGAAGTGAAGGAAGCTTAGAATAGAACTACTGCTTTCTGCTGCTAAAGAGTGGCTTTCCCCCCCCCATGGAATGTGATTTTAACATTAACTCACTAAAATAACACAAATTTCTCCTATTTGTTAATGTTTTGTAGTCATCTTTGAGGTTATTATTATTAATTTTATCAGTTGTTATATACAATAAAAAGTATTGAATAATAATAATAATAATAATAATAATAATAATAATAATTTATTATTTATACCCCGCCCATCTGGCTGGGTTTCCCCAGCCACTCTGGGCGGCTTCCAACTGAATATTAAAAGCAGTACAGCATCAGACATTAAAAACTTCCCTAAAGAGGGCTGCCTTCAGTTGTCTTTTAAAAGTAAAATAGTTGTTTATTGCCTTGACATCTGCTGGGAGGGTGTTCCACAGGGCAGGCGCCACTACCAAGAAGGCCCTCTGTCTGGTTCCCTGTAACCTTACTTCTCGCAATGAGGGAACCGCCAGAAGGCCCTCGGCGCTGGATCTCAGTGTCCGGGCTGAACGATGGGGGTGGAGATGCTCCTTCGGGTATACAGGACTGAGGCCGTTTAGGGCTTTAAAGGTCAGCACCAACACTTTGAATTGTGCTCAGAAACGTACTGGGAGCCAATGCAGATCTCTCAGAAACGGTGTTATGTGGTCCCGGCGGCCACTCCCAGTCACCAGTCTAGCTGCTGCATTCTGGATTAATTGCAGTTTCTGGGTCACCTTCAAAGGTAGCCCCATGTAGAGCGCGTTGCAGTAGTCCAAGCGGGAGATAACCAGAGCATGCACCACTCTGGCAAGACAGTCTGCGGGCAGGTAGGGTCTTAGCCTGCGTACCAAGTGGAGCTGGTAGACAGCTGCCCTGGGCGCAGAATTAACCTGTGCCTCCATGGACAGCTGTGAGTCCAAAATGACTCCCAGGCTGTGCACCTGGTCCTTCAGGGGCACAGTTACCCCATTCAGGACCAGGGAATCCCCCACACCCGCCCGCCCCCTGTCCCCCCAAAACAGTACTTCTGTCTTGTCAGGATTCAACTTCAATCTGTTAGCCGCCATCCATCCTCCAACCGCCTCCAGGCACTCACACAGGACCTTCACCGCCTTCACTGGTTCTGATTTAAAGGAGAGGTAGAGCAGGGTGTCATCTGCATACTGATGAACACCCAGCCCAAACCCCCTGATGATCTCTCCCAGCGGCTTCATATAGATATTAAAAAGCATGGGGGAGAGGACGGAACCCTGAGGCACCCCACAAGTGAGAGCCCGGGGGTCTGAACACTCATTTCCCCCCCCCCCACTTTCTGGACACGGCCCAGGAGAAAGGAGCGGAACCACCGTATAACAGTGCCCCCAGCTCCCAGCCCCTCTAGCCGGTCCAGAAGGATGTTATGGTCGATGGTGTCAAAGGCCGCTGAGAGATCCAGCAGAACTAGGAAACAGCTCTCACCTTTGTCGCTAGCCCGCCAGAGATCATCAACCAGCGCGACCAAGGCAGTTTCAGTCCCATGGTGAGGCCTGAATCCCGATTGGAAGGGATCCCAATGGTCCGCATCCTCCAGGCGTGCTTGGAGTTGTTTGACAACCACCCGCTCAATCACCTTGCCCAAGAATGGTAAATTTGAGACTGGGCGATAGTTGGCCAAATTGGCTGGGTCTAAAGATGTTTTTTTAAGAAGCGGTTTAATGACCGCCTCTTTCAGCGGGTCTGGGAAGGCTCCCTCACAGAGGGAAGCTTTCACCACCCCGCAGAGCCCATCGCCCAGCCCTTCCCAGCTCGCTTTTATCAGCCAGGATGGGCAAGGATCAAGGAGACAGTGACTAAGCAAGATAAAATGCTACACATAAAAGCAATTTAAAACAAAAAATTGAAACAATGAATACAAAATGTATAAAATTCTCATCCAGCAACAAATTAACAAGTCTTACCCACCTCACTAAAGGATGATCATAGAAGGCAATTAACTCAAGGCCTGAGTAAACAAAAATGTCTTATCCTGGCATCTAAAGGCTGATAATCTCATGCCTTTTTAAGTGATACCATTTTCTGTGTACCATTATGCATTACAGAAATAGTAGAATAGCAGGAGTTCACAGTCATTGCAACAGAGCTTCTAAATAGCTGTATCTAAGAATACTACTACTTTTATGAAGGTTAAAAGTTCATATCATGTTTGTTTCAGGAATATAGGCTAAAAGTCTGCCTGTATTCCACTTGGTTGTAAACTGGTGCCAAATCCTTTTGGATTGGAGCAATCAACTCAAGAATTGGGGTTGAAGGGAAATAGAAAGAAGGAGAGTGATCAGAAGCAAGTTGGGAAGGGGGCAGGAAGAAGGAATGTTGGGAGTCAAAAGAATAAGAAAATGAAGGAGGTCAGAAATACAGGAACAAATAACAGAAGGAAACAATGAAAAGTGAAAACAAGCCCCAAGTGTACAAAGAAGTCTGCAAAAGAAGGCGAAGAGAATATATTTAAAGGTGGAACTCACACAAGCACACCTGTACCTTTTCCTCTCACACATTTTCCAAAGAGTCACTAGATATTTTTGGAGAATTCAGGTCAGTCTCCACAGCTCTGTGAGCACTTGCTCTAGGAGAGAGAGAACCTGCAGATAGACAGGCCTTTGATACACCAGACTGAGGCCTCGGAATTCTTCATATAGTCAAAGTCCATTTTGGCATCTTCAGCCAAAATTACATCATAAATCATAGCATGAAAAATTTCCTGAGGTGACATTACAGGGAAGATAAATAAGTCAGCATCAAACCATTACAGCTTTGTGTTTAGCCTTCGGCTGGTCTTAGAAAAACAGCTAAATGATGGTCTGAAGGATTCCTCTCTATCTCCCCCCCCCAATAGGATCATAGATTTATGCACATGTACTTTTAGAAAAGAGGAGACATACTTTAGTCCTAAGTGAATGCCCCAAGTATACTATGCAGGACTCTCAAGCAGTGCATGTAAGAGCATATTTTGGCATATATCCAATTCATCTTTGCTAGAACTGCCATAGATCGTTGTACAGTAAAACAAGCAAGATCTAGTTTTAGCAACAAAAACGTTTATAAATAAATATTTTCATAGAATGGAATCTTGGCGCCATTGGAGGAATTTTAAACTTTGCTCATGACATCTTGATTTACTTAGTCGTTTTCTTTTATAGAGATATGAACACTCTGCGCTATGACCCTACAAGGGAAGACCATGCTGTATTTGAAAGGAAGCCAGAAAACACTGAGAAAGAAAGGTAATTTATTCCACCAACTGCTCATTCCTAGGAATCTGTTTGTCTTTCACTTAGCACCTAAGGCTTTCCTTCTCAACACTTTCCTGATGTGACACTTTAAATCCTATGCTATAGGAACCTCATGAGCTTTGTTCTCTTTGCTTTATTATATGAGTAATTGGAACAGGAGAAAAGGACTCGCCTAACTTTACAGAAGGCACAGGATAGACTAGCTGTGATTTCAGAGCTGTTGCTTGCTAGTGAACTAGGCCTTACAGAAACATCAGACTCCTGTTTTAGATCTTAGAGAGCGACAGTGATATATATATATATATAAAACCAAGACTGGCCAGCCATCAAATGCTGAAATGGAGCAATGTGGTGCTTCTAAAGATGGGGCATGACTTATGTCAAGTCCCTTTCTATATGAAAACACAGCCAATGGGTTGAGAAAAATGCTACATTCCTATTTACCCTGCCGTAGGCTCTTGGCAATATATAAATCACCTGTGTATTATTAATCTGTAAAATATGAGACACTAAAATGTACTCACAATTAATTCCTACAGTAAAGCTAAAAGGAAGAAGCAGAAGGAGGAAGCTCAGAAACTGCCCGAGGTTTCTAAAGAAATATTTTATGATGTCGCTGTGGATTTGAAAGAGATACTTGGATCTACAAAGTGTGATGAGAAAACAGAACAAATACCTTGGGATAAACATGAGGATGAGGGAGAAGCAACTCCAGCTGAGGCAGAGACATTAGGATTCAGCACTGGAACCGACAGAGAAGAGGAAACCAGTGGTTTCAAATTTTCCTTTTTTGGTGCTGAAGAGGAGAGGCCGCCAATGAAAGAAGGTACCAATGCCTGTTCTAAGGCTGCAACTTCAGCATGCAAGCAGGGTGTTACTTAGCTCATTTTCATGGCCTTATAACTTTTGAGAGCTGACAACCATGGAGCACTTCATCCAAGGCAGGCATCCCCAAACTCAGCCCTCCAGCTGTTTTGGGACTACAATTCCCACCATCCTTGACCACTGTTCCTGTTAGCTAGGGATGTTGGGAGTTGGAGTCCCAAAACAGCTGCAGGGCCGTGTTTGGGGATGCCTGATCCAAGGCTTCCGTTTATGGCGGCTTAGGGATTTGAGCTGTGACTCATCTTTTTGATGGGGATGAATCATTAGGAGCTAATTACACCGGTATTGCAGCATCTGCTTGAGCTACCTGTTTCTTTCTAGGCATAATGCAAGGAGCTAGTGATTCCCTCTAGAGCCCTTAGCTGTCTGAGCATAGCATAGCCAAGAAACTGTGCCCATCCCTGTGTTCCATTGTGGGTCATTCCATGTCAAATTGCTTGGTGCCATGTGCTCTCACAACTCAGATTTTCTACAGAAAAAAATTAATTATGTGTAGATACCTATGAGATAACCTCAAATTAATTTTTAAAGATTTTTTTGGTCGAAAATTGGATTGTTGGGTACCCTTAACCTGTGGGGTGATACACTGTAAGTCCACTAAAATACATCCGTAGAGAGTAAGATAGCATCTGCTGCCCACAATCCCAAATGTGTATTTGCAACTCTCGTGTTGGTCAGCATTCTGAGCATGACTCCTCTGCATATTGCAGGGAAAGGGTGGGATAGCTTGGGAATGATTTCTTTCAGGTGGAAGTTTCTATGTTGGACTGCTTTCTTCCTAAGCTGCCACCCTCTATTTTTTCTTGTGTCTGTCTGTTTTGCAGAACCCTATGTAATTGAAACAATAAAGGCTTCCAGGGTTGCATGGCAAGAGGATCCACGTTTTCAGGACAGTAGTTCAGAAGATGATGAGACAGAAGAAGTTGAAAGAGAAGATGTCGAAGAAATGTAGGTGGTCCTTACAAATGATATTTATTGAGAATCCATATAGTTGGCTATATAGGCCCCAAATATCAGACATTCCCTAGACCACTCACAGTCAAGCTTCTCAACCCCTGTCTAAACTATGGTGGTTTGCCCCTTCCACCACATCCCTTTGTGCCATATGCAGACCCTTCTTGAAACATCTCAATGTTCAGGAAAGGAGGGCAGGGCAAGGTTTAAAAATGTTGCATGTTGCTTTTAAGAATGTGTACTTGTTCCTCAAGTTGAATGTACTATTCATGTGTTCCTTTTGGGAACTAATAATGTTCTTGTTCATTTTTTAGGTCTCCAGCTCTACCACAGTCTAATATTAGATTTTTTTTCTTCTCCCGAGACGATGATAGATTAAAAGGTAGGTACAAAGGAAAAGGAAAACAGACTGGTAACAAATACATGCTTAGCTGTCAGGTTTTTCCCCCTTAGACCCTTTACTGAACCAAATAAAGAATTGAAAACGAGAAACTTCATGGTTGGCATGCAGGCCTATTTTCCACAGCCTTGAGTCTATTTAACAATCTGAAGTTCCCAAGGACTCATATTTTGTCTTTAACTTGGAATTGGTGCCCATTGTGTCAGGGTAGATGTTAAAGTGTTAGGCCATAAATCTCAAGATGGTCTTTGCTAATACTGTCTGAGATCCTCCTTTGGGTTGTCACTTGCATACCCAAAGAGTTTCTCTTTCCCCGTTTTCTGTTCATTAAGGCTCATATTTATTATGATGTCATCTTCCTTTCTGCTGCCCCTATTTTAAACTTTATTTCAAGATAAAGTGTCATGTTATTGGGTATGAACAGGAAAAAGGGCAGGGGGGCAGAATTGGGGGTTCAGCAGCAGGTGCACCCTTAATACAGTCAACTGAGGAGGAGATGCACCTCAAGTTTTTAATATATCTTTTTAATTTATTTCAGTGGAGCAGCCTGTGAGCCTTTACCTTACACTGTGAATGGTCAGGCTTTGAGAATTAGACTCATTGTGCTCACAATGGCAAGTGTGAGGAGGGACCAGGCCTCCTCCCATATTTGAAGAATTGGGAGGGAGGCTGGAAGTGATTTGGTAGAACCTGCAGGAGCATCATAGACACACCAGGCCAAACCAGCACCCCTTGCCAAAGGCAGCCTTTCCTACAATGGAACAAGAAAGGCTGGCAGGTGGGGCAGGCTTAGATAGCACTGGGCCCAGTAGTAGCCAAGCTAGTACACTCCCATCTGTGCCAGTCTTTCCCCTGGGAAAGGCTGAGGGTGGGTTTGACACCATTGATGGAAGGGAGCCAGTGCCTTTCCCTCAGGAACAGCCAGCAAGAGAGTGTAGCGAGCACTGTCTGAACTCATGCATGGCCCCCTCAAACAGCTGCTCCCAACACACCTTGCTCCCACCAGTCCTTCCCTTGGAAAAGGCTTGCCTTAGATGCTACTGTGGGAAGGTGCTCAGAGAAGGCCTGGAAGAAAAGGAGGAGCTATTGGAGGCTGGGGTGGTGAAGAGCGTTTAGGGCAGCTGGATAGTTCAGTAACCAGCAAAACTACCGTAAAATTATAGACCTCTAAAAACATAGATTGTTCTGTCATGCTTTCCATGCACATGGTTTTTCCTTGTTTATGCTCTTCTAAACTTCCAATTTTTTTAAAGCTGCTTTTCACATGCCTGTCAAAGAACATTAAAATGTATGTTAGTTGGCAGTGAAAGTTAGCTTGATTAGCACTGAACTCATAAGATGTGATTTTAAAACAATATGCTTTAGCTTGGGCAGGAGTTGCCATTCCCCCCTCCCCAAACAGGATGGTGTTAGATTGCGATCTCTCCTCCCTGGTGTTTTTAGTATGTTTTGTTGCTGACAACATGGTTTTTAAAGAACAAGCTCAGTTTTGGGAACGCCATATGGCTGAGAACAGCATGTGATTTTCTCAGGCTGTGGACAGCACAGATAACCTTTTGTCCTTTACAAGTATGTAATTCATGCTTAACGTAGCAGGCAGTGGAGTGGGAGGGGGAAAATAGGCCACAGCAGCATGTGAGGTAGTAAACACTATCATGGCTTCAGCTATCAAAGCCATCAAGCATTTCATCTCAGGAGTTGGGATCACTGTCTCACAGTGATAACTTCCTCCCTTCGTACGCCTGCTGAATGCAAGATAATTTAAAAGAAAATACTGGAGTTCTTCTTTGTGCCTTTTGTAGAGGGTCCAAAGCTGTTCTGTAAATCTTCTAACCTTGATGAAGACAGAGATGATTGGGAAAGTCGGCGCCAGACATTACTTGAGGTATGTTGACTGAAGAGATTATTGGTCTGATTTAGAGATACTTGTGGAAATAACAAGACTCCTGGACCCATTTTTGTAAAGTTATTTTCACAAGCTTGGTCATGCAGTTCACGTTAACTGTACTCAACTAAAATATGCAGTTGAACTATGACCAATTCATTCAGGGGCAAGAAACCTGTCCCTGTTGCTGGTGGCAAACACCTATCAGTCCCAAACAACAGAACTAATGGGCATGGATTATGGGAGTTGTAGTGTGCTAATACTTGGAAGGCTGTAGGTTTCCCAGCCATGCCCTGGTTCATTGTATATCTGTACTATATTCATGGTTATTATAATTAAAAGGGACGGCGGGTTGAATCTAATGATTTGTGCAAGCAGAGAGGGAAGTTCCTCTCCCTCTCCTCCCCCCTCCCAAAAATGTGCTACAGATATTTGGGGGAACCCATGGAGTAGATTTGAGAGGGCGGCAGTACAGGGGCAAGCAAGGGGAAGAAAGGGAGGGAAAGTCCAATTGCACAAGAAGGGCAGGGCTTCAGACAAAGCTCGAGGGCTAGTGGAAAGGGTTTCAGGGGCAAACTAGGGCCCCTAGGCTCCAGATCCAGCTTGCCAGGTCCTTGGCCACTGCTGGACCAATATACATCTGTCAGAATAATCATGGTCACAAAACCCTTCTAGAACCCCTCATTACAATGGATCCAGAAAGCTATCTTAGTGCAGTTTAAACAGACATGCTGAATAGCTGTAGTGGATGCCTATCCTAATTTAACCAGGGACAGAATAAACTTGCATAATTCCTACTAATACTTTACCAACAGTTGTCTCTCCCTGTCTGTTATGGAGCAGGCTAGTTGGTGAAACTGACAATATTTAAAATGTTAACTTAGAATAACGAACTCAAAATATTTTCAGGATTGTCGGAAGAAACATAAAGATGCAAGAAGAAAAGTTAAAGCAAAACACTGAATACAGCGGCTCTGCGAAACAACAGTGATACAGAAAACACTGGGCATTCAAAACTGGGATAATGGAAGACATCTCAAGAAATGCTTCTGCGAGTTATTTGAAAATTGGTGCTGAACACAAAGTGCCGTGTAATCTGGGCCTTGCACAGGTTGGGCATCTTTATGAAAAGTAGGTTTCTGGTTTGAGAAGAGCCATGAGCTGTAGGCAGATCTCCTTTGATTTGCCTGCATTCATTTACTTTACCTGGTTGCAATAATAAATTAAAGTAATCCAGAATAAAATGTCAACTGGACTATAAGGGTGGAGTCCATCCAGATCTACTATGCCTACCACCATTCTTTTGGATGTAAGACTCTGTGCCACAAATATTTGGAAGCGGAGGTTTTTATTATATCATGCATAGCAGAGGGTTGGACTAGATGACCCTCGGGTCCCTTCCAACTCTACAATTCTATGTACACCAGAAAGTAACATTTGGGAGCAGTTCATAGAGCAGATAGATGTCAGTGTAAATTGATACACCTTCCTAAAACATGTAAGTGTAAGAAACTGACTAAGGAGCAAATGCACAAAGGTCTTAAACCTGCAATGTTAGATACTACATTTAAAGTGGAAGTGCAATTAAAGTGGTGGAGAAGAAGAGGGCAAAGGTATTCAATTCAAATTGTACTTGAGCATGTGCTGTTTTCCGATGTGTTCAACATGCATCAGAGCGGGACAAGTGACAAAAAACAAACTGCAATTCCATTACTTTACAGGGAGTGAGCCCCCCCCCCAAAAAAAACTTGGTGTGACTTCCTTGGGATAAAGTTAAACATATTTAGGATTGGCCTACTATATTGCAGTCCAATACTATTTAAATGTGAGCATTGTCATTGATGGTAGTGGGGCGTTGATCACATTTTTAGGCTGAAATCAGTTTCATTGTGTTGGATAAGCAGCTCCCAACTGAAAATAATGCTAAATTCTTTGCTGCCTTGCCACATTGGCTGTTTTTACATAACCAAACTTTTAGTTTCTGCTGTAAAATAAAACTGTAAATTATATTTTTAAGTAAAAATTGTATCAGTAACATCAAATATGTAAATAATTGTATTTCTAAATAATACAAATTGATAATTTAAAGCATGTGCCTATAACTAGTCATCCCATTGGATTTGTGTGGATGTGTTGTTTTGAGTAATGAACCACCCTGCACAGGAGTTTTCTTTCCCCCGAACATTCATCCCTGGCAAAATTATCATCATCATCATCATTTTATTTGTATTTCGCCTTTCCATAGTTAAAACAGTGCTCAAGACGGCTTACAACATGACAAGATTTACATAATTACCAACATAACAAAAGTCATAAGCAATAAATAAAACACATCCAAAAGTACACAACCAAATGGAAAACAATTTCCACATAAATCATAAAATCTAAAATGAAGAATACAGCATTAATATCAATCGGTTTAAAATGACATAGATAAAAAATAAAAGCAATTTAAAATACACATATTAAACAAATAATAAAATGCTATGGCAGAAGGAATGGAAGATAGCAAATGCTGTTTGCATTTAAACTAGGTGTGATTTTTCATGTGGTTGAATGCTTTCAGTGTTAAGAAAGGGTAGCTGCTCAGTCATCAAGGAGGCGGCATCGGAGCTAAACATTTGAAGATGACAGGACTGGCCCACCCATGAGGCAAGGTGTGGAGGCCGCCTTATGCAGCAGAATCTATAGGGGCAGAAGAGCCAAATGTAGATCTTTATTCTCTTCCCCCCCCTTGTTTCTGATGTAGAACTTCACTCATCTCTTCTTTTCTGGCAGGGAGAGGGGCACCATTTTGTGATTTGCCTCGGGTGCCAAAATGCCTTGGGCCAGACATGGAAGACAGAAAGGTCAAAGTTCTCAAACTGCTTAAGTGTGAGCAATGGAGAAGGTGGGGTGGCGGCTGAAGGCTAAGACCATAGAAAGGACGAGAGAAATCCAGTCAAAAATAAGCTTGAAAACCCAGTGGCAGCATGTCCTGACTCCTCAGAAAGCAAAGCTCACTGGATGATCATTAAGAAGCTGACACACATTTTTTTTACATTTTTTTAATTTAATTTTTATTTGCACATTAAAAGTTACATATAATGAGACACAATATTCTATTATAAAGGGGGAAAAGAAAAAAGGTCTACACCAAAAAAAAAAGAAAAAGGAAAAAAGAATAGAAGGAATGTTAAACAACATATCTTGTCAAAAACATAGTGATTTAAGAAACACAAACCATCAATGACATTATTAAAAACACATATTTCCAGACACACGTTTTTTCACTTCCTGTTCAGAACTATTACCTAGAAATTTTGTAGGCATATGGTGCTTATCAGGTCTTGCAACTTACATGTAGTTAAATGGCTGGAGAGCAATTTCCAGCATGGTACTCTTTCTTGCATCAAGTTCTCCATGGGCATTTTTTAAAAATGCTAATGCGTAAAATACAGTTCTACACAAACAAGCAGAAGGAAGCTGTGAATTGCTGTTCTCCCCAAGCCAAGAAGGAAGACTTTTAGCAGTGTTTAGTCTGTTTCCTTTAAACTCAGCTTGTCTTTTCATCCAGACTCGGGATTATGGTTTTTCACTAATGTCAGTTTTAACACACGGTTGAAATTGGATTAAAAAAACTGACCATCGTTAGTAAATCCTATTTACTAACCATTCGGATGAAATGACAAATCTAGTTGCTTCTAAATGCAGCCAGTAGGGTAGGTCAAGATACAATTGCACCAATAAAGAAAGAAATTACGTTTTGTCTTTCCTAATTTTCAGTGTTTGAGTCTTGCTATAGAAAAAGAACACTTCATAAATTCTAACAAAACAACAGTTTCAAAGCAGATAATGATGGCTATCTTGGACAAAAATCATCGTGAATAATAAGTTGTATTCCAGATGCCTTTCTAAGCACTTGGCTTGGGGGGAAGTTGTGCCTGAAGCTATTCTTATTAACTACATATGTGAAAACTCTTAAATATCCCTTACAGATGTATAAAGCACAGTATGGTTCCCTGAAAAAAGAACCAATGGCAATTTTAATTAGATAATACAAAGTGGGCCAGCTAAGAAGTAACGATTGCCACTTGATAAACTCCAGTTTGTGAAACCAAGGTAATCTGCCATGCTGGCACACTGTTTTATCTCTTCCTTTGTGTGCCAGCTTTGGTTTGAGATTGTGGATCATTTAAACCAAAGTTTTCCAGTCTGAGTACGGTGGTAAATTATGGTTTATATGCAAACAATGTTCAATGCCAAAGCCCATATGTGAGGGGAACAGGATGTGGCAACATATGGACACCCTTCCTGTCCCTGGGTTAGTAAAGCACAGTTTAGTAAGCCAATATAACTATGTCTGAAGCAGCCTAGTACAGTAATACCTCCATGAACATCTGCCTTGTCTAGCATCTATTCCAGTGAACATTCGCAGCAAACCTGGAAGTACCGGAACGGGTTACTTCCGGGTTTGCTGCTCCCACATGCGCAGAAGTGCTAAATGACGCATGCACAGAAGAGCAAACTGCTCCGTCGGCATGTGCAGAGCGGCGCTTTGCCCTGCGTCCTTTTTGGCAAAACAAAGTACGACTGTATCTAAAAAGCTTATTTTACCTCAGCCATATTAATTTTCTTTTCTTTTTTTTAATGGTCATTAAGTAAGGAAAAGTAGCCTACCCCAGTTTATTCTTTAGAGGGTGCTTTACTGTATTGCTAATTCACTTCCAACATGGAATGGAAGGCTCGGAGAGGCATATGGCTCACAATTGCCAAGCCATCATCTGTTGCTTTCTAACAGATTGATAAAAGACTTATTTTTAGTTCCCTCCAAAGTGACAGTGGAAGTGTATGAATTCATTGGCTTCTCTCACAAGCTCCCATCTACCCAGGAGCTGCATCATGCAAAGAATCCTGGTTCGTGGCTGACTGGTATATACACCAGGAGGATTCCACACTGCCTGAGAAATCACTGTTATATTTACTGGCATTTGGCACTGTCAAAGCAGGTAAAGAATTGCATTTAGGTATTTCTCACCCTGTTCCAAGCACTCAAGGCTACGGTATATCGTCATTCTTGCATAAGTGCTATAAAACTAGGCTACAAGACAGTAATTTGTGCAAGGCCTCATAAGAAGAAGTGCCTGATATATTCAGATCCTTGCTATCTGATTTTACTGTGTTTTCTGTTCTAGCTTTGTTTTCCTACTCTTCAATCTCCATGGTGCAGAAAGAAGAAGATAAAGGGAGGAATTAAGAGGATCTGCTCTTCCCCCACCTGCTTTTTAATAGCATTTATCTAGCACCCAATTTACTCCCCCCCCCAACCACATGTGCACACTATATAAATAAGCTACTTTTATTTATGGGCATAGTACAGGATGTAAATACACCTGTTTAGATACAACTGTGGGTGTTCATATATGGCAGACTTCCCCAATCTGGTATCTTCCAGATCTCTTAGACTGCAACTCCCATCAACCCCAGCCAGCACAGATGAAGACTGTAGTCCAAAACAGCTGGGAGGATGCCAAGTTAGAGAAGGATGATATATGATATTTTTCTAGTGATGCAGAAGGTTGGCCTATTGTACATAGGGTTGTGTGAGCTATGCTTATTTTTCCCCTCCAGATGGTGTCATAGAGCAGGTTTTAGAAGCCAAACTGAAATGTTGTTGTTGTTGTGCTAAAGCACAGCAATGATCTCAGTGTCCTACAGCACACCATAGGCGTATTTTTACAGCCATAAACCTAATACTCTTTGGGCAGTCTTTTTTTTTTTTAATTTACTTTTAGATGTTGCCAGCCCCTGCAGAGATGGCTCAAGCATGAAACCCTCTGGTAGATTTAAGTCAGTTCCTCATTGGAGCACCATGTTGCAGAATTTATAACTCTCAGTTTTCAATTATCCATGCATTGAATTCAAAGCGAGCTATATGATCAAAGAAAATTCTGCCTAAAGCCACATTTGGTCCACTGGAAAATCATGTTACAGTTGCAGAATAATCAAAACACATTCTATCTGCTCTTTTAAAATTTTGAGGTGGTGAAGAAAGGCAGAAGTCTGACTTCCTTGTTTCACTATACAGAGGTCTTTGCTCTCTCTTGTGTAATTATACAGTTGTTGCAAAAGCCCCCAACACACAGTCAGCAGTCTACCGAAAGCATAAAATGTTCCAAAAAATGGTTCGTCTGCACCTCATTTTAGATGGTTTGCTTCTAAAACAAATAAATTCTTATGAATTCCTAAAATTCATAGTGTTGGCACTGACCTTTAAAGCCCTAAACAGCCTCAGCCCTGTATACTTGAAGGAGTGTCTCTACCCACATAGTTCAGCCCGGACACTGAGGTCCAGCTCCAAGGGCCTTCTTGGAGTTCCCTCACTGCGAGAAGTGAGGTTATAGGGAACCAAGTAGAGGGCCTTCTCTGTAGTGGCACCCATCCTGTGGAACGCCCTCCCATCAGATGTCAAGGAAATAAACAACTATCTGACTTTTAGAAGACATCTGACGGCAGCCATGTATAGGGAAATTTTTTTGATGTTCGATTGTGTTTTTAATATTTGTTGGGAGCTGCCCAGAGTGGCTGAGGCAACCCAGTCAAATGGGCAGATGATGATGATGATGATGATTTTGTAGTCGCAATGACTCTAAAATGCAGCTCTCTTGAAGAGCAAAGTCATTTAAAAGGTTTGCCATCTTGACCCTTCTAATCTTTTAAGACTAACACATGTATTATCCAAGTTGATTGGATACTCACCAAGTTGATAATAGCTTTGCTTAACCATGATTTGTTTGCCACATATGCTTGCTAAGCTACAAAGACATAAGGCTAGAGAAGCTGGGAAATAAACCAAGCTTTTGTGAAATAAGCCTTGGCTTGTTTGCTACTCTGTAAAACAACTCATGATTTGTTGCACAAACCAGGGTTAAAACAAACCATTGTTTCTTGTTATCTATTCTCTTTGATTTCCTCCTCCTCCTGATGATGATGATGATAGATTGGAGCATGACTTAGTTCCATTGGCATTGGTAAAGGGATGGGCAGCAATTTTCATCAATCCCTCCTTTCCTTTACAGCTCCTTGTTCCTCTAGAATAAAACTCAGTGGAACAGTCTGGGAGGCAATGCTGGAACTGAAGGGAGAATCAGCAAAAATTACCACCCCATCTCCTTCCTCCAGCGGGAAGCCTCCACTGGATCCCAGTTTCTTCTCTGAACAGAAGCTCTTCTACTCTGAGTTGCAAGGCTGGATGGTCTTTTATTGTATGAACAAGTAGTATGCTCTGGTTTGTGACTTCTGGTATTGAAGTCAATGGGTTAGGTTTTAAGTGTGGGTTAGAATTCTATTTCCTGTTTCTTTTTATACCCCTATTTTGGTTCTGATTTCCTAAATAAGCCTTCCTACTGAACAGTTCTTGTTTTGGCTGTGAATTCCTCAAAACTAATGCCAATTCTTACATGGACTCTGCAAGATGTAAGCAGGATTAAATGCACGGTGCTTACGAAGAGCTATATTGAAGTTATCCTTCCCATAACTCTGTAAAGTAGGCCACCACCACCCCTTTAATAAAAGGAGGGGGCTGAAGCTGAGACAACTACCTGGATTTTCCAAATATGCAGAAGATGGACTCTATCCTTATCACTGGGCACTAAAAGCCAGTCTAAACAAACAAGGCTGCTGTCATCTCTAATATCTGAGCAGGTTTGAGCTCAAGCAACCTAAAAGAGGGGGGTGATTAAATAGCTTAATTCTTTTTTAAACTTCTGCCATCATTTGAAAACAGTGAGAAGGGAGGTGGACTAAAAGGGAATAAATTGCCTGTTTGGAACTTCTCCTTCTTCTATTCCTTAGCTGCTTCATATGAAAGAGATAAAGGATGCAAAGCCCTCAAACAGTCCAGAGTACTACATTTCCATAATATATTTCACTCCTGAAACTCTTTGTTCTCTTCAGCATGATGTTCCAGTTTCAATATAGTAATTTAGAAGCAAACAAGCAAACACCAATATATGTACAACATTCACCATCAGCCGAACTTAGCCTTCTCTTACTTGCTCATAATGTTCTATTCATCTTAAAGAAAAATTAGTATGTATCAGCTTGGGCTCTGTAGAATAGGAGGGGGACATGGAAATGGGTGATGGCCTGTGTGCAAGGAAAAATTGCAAAAAGGATGAAGGAGAAGGTAGGAAAAGGGGGGCAAAGGTGATAAAGGTGTCCGTGTGTATGCAAAAGAGACTGCACAATAGGAGAGGTGATAAGGCATGGAAATAGGGTTGACCTATGTGCAAGGGGGGACGTGGGTAGCTCTGTGGGTTAAACCACAGAGCCTAGGACTTGCCGATCAGAAGGTCGGCGGTTCGAGTGAGCTCCCGTTGCTCGGTCCCTGCTCCTGCCAACCTAGCAGTTCGAAAGCACGTCAAAGTGCAAGTAGATAAATAGGTATCACTCCAGCGGGAAGGTAAACAGCGTTTCTGTGCGCTGCTCTGGTTTGCCAGAAGCGGCTTAATCATGCGCGCCACATGACCCGGAAGCTGTCTGCAGACAAACACCAGCTCCCTCGGCCAATAAAGCGAGATGAGTGCAGCAACTCATGACTGGACCTAATGGTCAGGGGTCCCTTTACCTTTACTATGTGCAAGGGAGAATTGAGAAAAGCTAGGAGGAGCACGGGGGGGGGGGGAGTAAAGGGGAAAACTGGGGTGCAAAGGAGGTTGCCAAAAAGGAGGGATTTGGAAACACTGGAATGGGGTTGAAGATGAAAGCAGCGGCATGAAAGGGTCAAGAATAGGGTGCTTAGTAGTTGCAATGCGTGAGAGAAGGGAGATGCAGGAGGTTACCATGGAGGCAGTTTGTGTGCTAGGAGGGGTTGGACAAAATGAGGGGGATGGCATGGGCACGGGACGAAGGTGAAAATGGGTGCAAAGTGGAGCTGCATGATAGAAGAGGCTTTAGAAATGTTACTGGGAAGATGAGAAGTGAGCTCTGTAGTTGTGCGGGGTGGGAAGGGAAAGCTCAGTGGCATGGCAGCGGGGGTTGGCAAGTGAAGCAACAGGGACACAACCCCTTGTAATTTTTCATGCAAGTAAAGTGTATAAAAGTAGAGAAAGTGGATAGAGAGATTTTTTTTCCACCTCCTCTGCTCATATAATACTAGAAGACGAGGCCATTCAATAAAGCTGCATGTTGGAAGTTCTGCTTCATGCAGCACATAGGTAAACTATGAAATCCACTACCCTGTATTTAGTATTAGATTTAGTGGCAGAATTCGCTTTAGAAAGGAACAGGACAGATTCATGAAGGATAAAGCTATCAATGGCTACTAGGCACGCAGCTCAGGCATGAGAGGCAGTATGTCCCTGAACACCAGTTGCTAGGAACCACAAATGGCGAGAGTGCCATTATGCTCTTGTCGTGTGTATAAGGGCAGGATGCTGGACTCGATGGGCCTATTTCATCAGGTCTCCTGTTCTCAAGCATTCTGCACTTTCAGCTTGCTTTTAATTGCCAGGACTGAGTGGATGGAGTACACTTAAAACCCACTCTCTAAATGTTAATGGTGTACAGCTAGAGAGCATAAAAAAAGAAAGAATTTGACCAGAGTGTGAGGAACAGGGAAGGCCTTCTTTTCCTGTTAAAACAAACCTGCGAAGTGATTACTCTTGCAATGTTCAGTTAGAATTTACCAGCCAAAGTCCTAGCAAAGAGCCAAGCTTCCACCTCTTAGGTTATTTTCCCACTCCCAATTCCCATAAAGCCACCGCCCTGCCCTAAGAGCTAATTTTCACATGCAGCAGGCTCATAGCAACAGGCTTCACGGTCTCCAATGGTTGGAAGGGAGAGGAGGGAGAGAGAGAGATCAAACAATCCAGTGTATGTACATAGTATTCTTCAGCTCCTTGCTTGTTATTGGTCTGAATATGCTACACTCCCCTCTTTCCTCGCCCAGTGTGATCTGTGCTCGCAACTCGCTGCCTGGATCTGGGCCAGCTGGAACACACCTTCTTTTTCACACATACACAGACCCACGAGCCAGCTCTGGCCTACAGGGTGGAAACTTGATGCTCTTGTCAGTGCAGCCACAACTTGACTTGCTGGGACTGGAGCAGAGGAGGAGGAGCAGCAGCCACAGGCTTCCAGTGCCCTTCACACAGAAGTAGTGGGAACGTGACAGTAGGGGCAGGACCAGTGGGGAAGCCCCACTTTGCCCCTCACACCATCGTACATCATGTGAGAGTGAGCACCCAAACATGGCTTGTATCGTTTACAGTAAGTTTCATAGCTATATAAGAAATGTAGGTCATCATTCACCAGCTTTAAGAGTGATCAGACTGTCAAGGCCTCACCTCTCCTTGGGGTAGGAAGAATGCAACTATTAATTACACAACTATTAATATTACCTCATCAGTGTGCATTGCACATGACAGCATTGCATAAAAAAGAAAAAGAGCACAAGTTCCTTCCTTGTGAAGCTTGCACTCTGAATGTTGAGAATGGAGAGAAACAGCAAAATTAGTGAGAGAGAGGCAAGGATAACATGGCCTTAAAATGCACGGTTATGTCAATTTGGGACAACATAAGAGGAACAGTCCAATTAAAACAATATACGAAGAGAGGTAGAATAGAATGTATAAATATTGTCGGGCCACTAGAAGATCCTTGCACTGTGTTCAGTACAGGAGCTGAGTAAATCTAAATTTCTCTTGCCCTTCCCATTCCCCACCCCCAGTCAGTCCCTGTAGCAATTCCTGTTCATCTAGTCCTGTCTTCTACAAACAATTTTGTATGAAAGGAATGCAGGAAGTTCAGTTAAAAATTAAACCACCAGCATAAGCTCTAGATTGTAGTTGCACAATAAGAATGCTTGTATTCATAGAGTAGCATCTGAAGCCTTCTTGAAACAAAACAAAACAAAACAACAAAACCCTAAACTACGAGGAAGCAGAAATTAAGAATTTGCGCTATTGTTTATTAATGCACATTACTGCAGTGGTACCTCGGGTTAAGAACTTAATTCGTTCTGGAGGTCCGTTCTTAACCTGAAACTGTTCTTAACCTGAAGCACCACTTTAGCTAATGGGGCCTCCCGCTGCCACTGCGCGATTTCTGTTCTCATCCTGAAGCAAAGTTCTTAATGCAAGGTACTATTTCTGGGTTAGCGGAGTCTGTAACCTGAAGCGTCTGTAACCCGAGGTACCACTGTATTTAAAGAGAGGGGTCTTTGTTAGATCATGGATACATTGCATGCCATGCAGATGTGAATGAAAATGCTGGTTCTGGCTTTTACTTTACTTTTTTTTTTAAATCACAGATACAAAGCTCGATTAAACTAATAATAATCCAGTAGCCATGTCAAATGTCTGAATTTGACACACATTCTGGAAACTGGTGTCTGAAGTTCAAAAGAAAACAGGCAGGTAACTTTTTTGCAGGGTTAAAGCATCCTACTGAAGAACAGGCAGAGCAATTCTTGCCTTTTCCAGATTGCAGCATTCTAGTCCTGTGGCTGTTAGATCTCAAGACTGGCTGGACAAGGCAGTGAAATATTTGCTGAACATTTGTATTCTGCCTCTCTACTTCTTATAAAAACACTTGTCTTCTTAAAACTAACCAGTACGAAGGAAGCAGCAGGAATGTGTTCAAGCGCCTGGGATTCAATAGCACTTCTCCCACATATGTGTCATTCAGAAAAAGCAGGTCAGATTTTTAAAAACAAAACAAACTCCTACTTTCAAAAGTGCTGCTGAGCTGCACACAGCTTGTGCTATGGCTACTTGCTGATTTCATCTGACTACACTCTTTGATTGGAGCAGCCTTCCCTCGATCTCTTTTTTCCGGCTTAAAACTAAACTAAAATAATGATCAGACGATTCCCCTCTCTATTATTTTAAGTGGAGTTTTGATCTGATAAATACATGAGCCACACTTGTTGGTTGATTTAGAAACAAAGCAAGGCAGGAGAACATTATACAACTTTAACACAAAAGATTTGCAGCTTCAAGGCTTTGCCTGGCAAAAGCTTAAAGCAAATATTCTTTTTATAAAAAAGAAGAAACCCTTGAGGATAGAGCAAATTACAACTGGTTCCAAGTCATGTTGAAAGCAGTGCAGTGCCACACTGCTGGAGAAAGGAAACACACGCATTAGCCTACTGGTAGTTTTGTTGCAATTACATCCTGTAGTCAAGAGTCTAAACTTGTCCTATGCAGCAACAGCCCTCTCAGATGATTAAAAAAGAAAAGGCAACTGGAAATCTCTGAGGCACTAATTTCCCCTCTTTATTCTTAGTCATCAGCACACACACCCATTCAACAAAAAGACATGCAATCTGGGCCACAAACCCACGAATAAGCTAGGAAAAAAGGGACTCCCTTCAAGCCAATGCATGCCTTGATTCCATGGGCACAAAGCAGCTGGAAATTGTGACCATTAGGGCAGGTGACAGCAATACAGTGGTACCTTGGGTTACATATGCTTCAGGTTACATACGTTTCAGGTTACAGACTCCTCTAACCCAGAAATAGTACATCGGGTTAAGAACTTTGCTTCAGGATGAGAACAGAAATTGTGCCCCGGCGGCACGGCGACAGCGGGAGGCCCCACTAGCTAAAGTGGTACCTCAGGTTAAGAACAGTTTCAGGTTAAGAACGGACCTCCGGAACGAATTAAGCACTTAACCCGAGGTACCACTGTACAGTATTAAAATCTGGTAAAACAAAATATAGTCAAGAGAATAAGGTTGTGTGTCTGTGTGTATATATGGTGTTATGAGGTGATTGGAGGTGGGTACCAGATCCCTCTAATTTCTGGATCCAGCAACTGTTGAAAGCCA